AAAAAGTTTAAAAATAAATGATTCCATTTACTCATAAAATTTGTATCAAAAAGAAAGAAGGGAGGGTAAGGCATTATAGACAGAAAGGAAGATAGGAAAAAGGGAAAGGGGAAAATGGTGAGTAGACAGGTAAGAGCGAGGAGCAGAGGGAAGCAGAAAATACACTAAAATATTGTCAGTTATCATCTCTGAGTGGTAAAATTTTGAGTAACTACAAAAAAACTAATATCTAATATTAATACCACTTGGTGTCAATGTAGGTTGATAAAAAGACTTTCAGAAAGTAATTCAGGAATATTATATCAACAATCATAAAATATATACACACTTTTTATTTAGTAATCTCATTTCCAATAATGTATACTAAGGAAATAATGCAAAAGAATAGAACAGATCTATAAGAAGGAAGTATTTACAGTATTCACTATAACAGCAAAAATGAGTAAGTAGCCCACAATGGAATACCATACAGCCTTTCAAAATCTACTGTCACCATGAAAACTGTGAAACATATAAAAATGAATGTATTAAGTGAAAAAGTCAGATCAGTGTTGTATATATAATATGATAATTGTTACTAAAAATCAAGTATGTATATGGCAAAAACTGGAAAGCAAAATGCAAACATAAAAATTATATTTGTATTATGGTTGAGAAATTACAAGTAATTTTTCCCTAAAACAGCAAACTTCTCTTAACATTATATTGTTCTTTAACTGAAAAAATTAATAACTAAAGACACTGAACATCACTACAATAAAATATTCACTAAAATACTATAATTCCTAGAGAACAAATTATCTATTTTACACACATTTTTGAGAGAATATTCACTCAAAATCAGAGGCAACAAAATGGGAAAAAAAAATTTCCAATTTTGAAATCTGTAGATTAACACATCAGTATGTTTTTAAAACATATTTCATTTCATTCCTCATCAGGTAGTGTGTCTAATGCATCTCAACAGGAAGCCTTCGTTGAGAAATAATTACTCATAAAGAAAAGAATAAATTTTTTACATGGTTAAATTTATTCTTTTCAACAGTAACATAAAAGTATCATATACAAATATGGTAAAATATATATATTTATGTGCATATATGTATATGATTAGTTTACTTAAATTATCTTCTGTCTTACAAAATATATTAAAATACTTAACCCAGGTAACAATTTAGTTTCATTGTGATGTCACTAAATGGTCACAACCTAAAACAACATACTTGCTCCAGGAACAACAAGCAGGTATAATCCCTCTAAGGTCGCAACAACTGCTTCTCCATACAAGTTTTTCCAAGGAATCTTCAGAGTTAATTTATCTAAAGAAACACAATTT